CCCAGCTGAAGAGGATGCATGTTTCTTAATTACAACTAGATTATGAAATCAAGAGTGGTACTGATTGCAAGAAGCAACTATGTGGCAGCTGGTAGACTATTGCATCTGCATTGCAGAACCATTAAAATACTCTTCCGTTGGGTTGTTACCATCCTCACTGTCAATCAAGTGTAAATGTTGATGCTATGGTTTGCGGTATAGTAGAATGAAATAAAACCATGTCATTTAACATTATAGATTTTTAGAAACAGAAAGTTACCATTTTGATTTTTTTTAAATTTTTTATAGAAAGCCACTGGTCTATCATTTAAGTGGCCATCCAATTCTTTTTTTGGGGGGGGTAATTAGGTTTATTTATTTATTTTTAAATTTATTATTATTTTTTAAACAGAAGTACTAGGGATTGAGCCCAGGACCTTGAGAATGCTAACCATGCACTCTAGGACTTAGCTATCTCCTCCCCGACTTCCCACCTTGATTTTTCAAATGTTTAGTTTGCCAGTGTCTTCTGAACACTCACTCTGATACTCACCCATCTGATACTTTTCCTGAATTAATTTTCAGCAACAACCATGCCAGGATTAGACAGGAAAGAGCAACACTACAAAGAAGTCTATTCTCTTTCTGCTCAGCAGTGCTGTATAAGGGTTCCCACTCACCAGCAGACAGAGGACCCAGTATTGTTCTGTGTTACCCTAGAGAATCTCACTTTTCCCCACTGTTCCAGAATAAAAGGACAGAGAAAATGAAAAACTCCCTGTCAAACTTGTACTGATAATGGTTGTACACAGTTATGTGGAATTTTAGAGGCTAACACTTCTAAATAGATGATTCCTACATATAATTCTCATCTGCATACTGAAGAAGCTCGGTTTCATCACATGAAGTTGACAACATGGCACTCTCTTACTTGTGAGCTGGGTTTGCCTGAAAAGTATACAGTGCTTGATGTCACTGACCCAATCCCAGATAATACATTAACGGCTGTACCTGCGTTCAGTTCTGACCGCCAACATATGTGTCAGTCTTCAATGTCTCCCTTTAAGGCACAAGAAACTGATGACCCTAAGCATGTAAGTTATTAACAAGGTGAGGTTAGTGGCAGAGGTGGATTTCCAAAATAAGTCAGCCTGATGCAAGTCTGAGTTCTGAATAACCACCACTCTCCACTGCATCCTTCATTATGGGAATAGCATTTCTAGGAGAGACTATTTATTCTCATGGCAATAACCGAGACAATACAATGTGAACCTTTAAATGATCTATGCTGTATTTCTGACACAGGATATGACACAGTGAATAATGCCTGTTCCTTTTGATACTGCCGATGGAAGCAAACAAACAAAAGCTACCTCTGCTTTTTGCATGTGAAGAATTCGTTTTGACTAGCCAACTGTCAAAATGCTTCCCTTTGACTTTGTGTCTGCCCAGATGTTGTGTACTTTTCATGATGGTGACATTCTGTTACAAGATGATTCCTTAACATAGCTCTTCATATGCCTTGTGTAAGCTGGCTCAGCTGTGAGGTTGTCTGTAAAATACCAGGCTACTCTTCAAATCATCTTAATGGTTCTCTTAGGCTTCCCTGGGTGAGGAAGTCTGGGAGGATAGACATCTCCTGAGTTTATCTCAAGCTTTCAAATCAGATACATGTGTGGCTATTGGAAAATCACCAAGACAAAATTTCTATAAAAAACAGTAATGGATAACCAAGAGATTTTAAAGAAAATGTGTTTTGTTTTACATTGTGGCATTTGAGCAATGCTTATTCCACGTAATTCACAATTCTATGGCTCTTTCTGCGGCTTTTTAAAAAAAATCATCCATCCACAGGAGACTGACAGGGTTGCTGAGCGCAGAGAACTGATCCCACAGGGCATCTGACATCACCGCAGGGCCCCCGCAAGCTCCAATCACACTTTCTCCAGAAGCGAGTACAGGGCACCTGCCATGGGGACAATGCACTTAGCACTGGCTGAGATTCAACAGTTGGCAGGATATGTGCTCTGTCTCCAGGGACCTCGAGTGCAGGCATGAAACAGACCCACGAAAAAGTACAATGTGTAATCTCCACAAATAAAAGTGTTTTAAAGTTATATTAACAGCACAGAGAGGTCAGATAATTGACTGGTGTGATCCAAGACATTTCCCAAGGTTTGGTGGGCTGTGAGGTTGCATCTGTATTGTATCTTGAAGAAGCATGTCACCAGACAAGGTTCTTGAGATCTCTTGGAGACAGACAGGAAGATTTTCATTTTTTTTTGTTTGTTTGTTTAAGATACATATCTAATCTAGAGCACGGACTGAATGAGGAGGAAATACTGGTAAGAAGTACCAGGGAGCAGTATGTGGTAAGATGTACATGTCGCACAAGAAGTTTGACTTCTCTCTTAGCATAATGATGATGGAACATTTTGAAATTGACACAATGTCACATCAGGCATTCGTTATAGATTATCCTTCGTCCTGAGCCGTGTAGGGAAGTTTGATGTGGGAACAGACTGCCGGAAGGGTCTTAACCACATCATGGTCAGGAGACTGAGAGAAAAAAACACCTTTGAGAGAGCACGCTAAGTGCTGGGACTAAGATCGTTGGCTGATTATTTAAATAGAGGTGCACGAGCGCTCAAAGAAGGCAAAGAGGCGGGAATAGTCTACGACGTGTGTTGAATACCAGTAGCTTCCAGGAAAGATTTTTGATGATGCAAAGTTAAGTCTCCTGGAAAACAGTCTTACTCAGCACCAAAACCTCCCAGGCCTCAGCAAATATTTGCTGAATGAAAACAAAACTAAACTAACAAAGGCTTATACTTCCCTCTGATCCACCATGGTTTTGTATTTGATTAGGAAAAAATGGACCCTTTATGGAGATTTATGATGTCAAATTTTAAGAATCCCCCTAAGGATATATTGAGATGTTCATCTAGTTTAGAATTCATACCAAGAAAATAGACAAATGGGATCAGCCTAAAATAATACGTGATTTGGAGTTTAACATTAAACATTTTTTATCCTTAACTTTCTGTGTAACTAATGCAGTGATGCTCATGTAATATCCTCTTAAGCACACATTCTCTATTTGTGCTGTGAAATAAAAAGGTATAAATCCAGCAGCCAGTTTGCTGACACCCTAATAGACTCTGACCCATGAGCATCTTCAGCAGGATTTACAAAATACTTAGAGCAACTTCTCAAGTTCTAAACAAGTTCATTACTAAAAATACCCTGACTCAAGTCCTTTTTAACAGTTCTCTCAGCTCACCCTGTGGATGGAGCCGTAGCTGGATTCCCTCTGAAGTTTTCTAATAGAATCAATGAGCAGGCATCAAATAATCACAAAAATAAAATCACTATTAAAATACAGAAATGGATGACCAAGGGAGTTCAAAGACAGATATTTTGAGGTCTGTAAAAATATTCTCTTGCTTTGTCACAAATGATAATTCATGTATGCACCTACAGAGTGGAGTTGTGATTTTTCCACCACTGAAAATCTTAAACACTAAGAATTTGTCCCGCAGGCCAGTCAGTCTTAAGGCTAGTTAGTTTATTAAAAGGCAAGAAAAGTTGAGTCCATGGAGTTAGATGCTAATATTATTATTATCATCTTGGGTTGATTTCAATTCTGGCACTCAATGGGAATGAAAAAATTGCAAGTGTAATGACCACATACGATTCCAAAATTTTCAATTACTTGATATACATTTGAACATTTGATTCAATTGAGTTGTGCTATTATCAAGGCACTATCCCTCTGCGGCATCTATTAAACACCAAGATCATCTAATCTCTCTCTAAATACCTAATATATAAAGTTGATATGTTATCAAATTTACCAACAGGTGTGTACATGTCTTGTTACCTTAGATACTCTTGAGTTTAATGAGAATGTAAAGTTATTACATGGGCTCTGAGATGCTGGAATGTGTTAGAAAACAAGTTTATTACACGATCTGTGAGCTCCTTAGTACTGAAATCCTATTATTCTCTGAATCTCCAGTAGAACCTAACTAAGAACTCTGTAAAAAGTAGGTGAGAAGTAAACGTATTGGATGAACAAACACATTTCTTTAGGAATATGTTGGAGTAGAAGACATATTTAATTTGGCTAAGACTGTATTCTACTCTTCTATGAAATCTCTGAACTCAGAGCAATGCCTGGAACAGAGCAGAAATTTCATAAGCTTTTTTGAATCAATGGTATTCCTTGACTAAGGGTCTAATAGAGTCAAGTCTGTAACTTTCAGCAAAAGTGACCAAGAATACGCAGTCATTATCTTACATAAACTCTCCCAGATGTAACATGAATCACTGCTACCACTGTCTTTCATAGTTAATTTTCCAACAGAGATTCTGTACATCATTAATACTAGTAACTGAAGTGTCATGGTTTTATTTCCTGATTCACTCTCTGTCAAATACGTTATTAGTGAACTAGTCAAGCGGGGTTGGAGAAACGGTTCTGGAAAATCATGAGCTTAATCCCAAGTTCAATTTGTGCATATGAATAAATACATTTTCATGAGTGCTCACTGAAAGGATGAGTGGGTGAGCTATCAACAATTCTGAAGTAGAAAATACCATGAGAATTCTTTAGGAAAACTGACATTTAAAGCCAACAGTGTATATAATGAAATAGGGGGAAAAAGGACTATTCTGATGAGATAACATTGGTATTTATATATTCTAAACATAGATTTCACCAACACAAAATAATATGCTCAATGTATGTGTGTCTATTCAAAAGATACTCATAGGAACACACAATTTAGTCAAGAAATAGGAAAGAATGTGAAAATTTCATATAAACCCCTCACACACAGAGTCAAAGGGCCTTAAAACACAGACGTCGTCTTCAAGGTAAGAGAAAATGAAAAACCCTGTTACCCACTTCATTCCTGCCATCCCTCTGTGTCATCAGGAAAGGTCCCTCATTCCTCTTGGATGTGAACAAAGCAAGAATTGGCAGTATCCCAAGGAACTTACTCAGATAAACACAATGTGGTTTCTTTTTAAAATAAGCCTTTACTGAATATATCAACAACGTACTGTATAGTGTAGAGTGAAGTCTGTAGTTAACAAAGTGTGCGACCCGGGAGGTCTCAGGAGACCTGTGGTGCAGAATCTTCCAGCCCCTTGCGGTCCCTTGTCAGCGAGAACAATACGACACAGAAACCAGAAGCAAATCAACATATGGCTCAAACAACAACAAATCATTAGGAATAATTTTCAGTGACTGTGTATTCACTGGAAATATACACTGAAATATACTGGTCCTACGAGGGACACACAGTGGCGACGCCGTCACCTTGCCTCGGAAAGGTTATAAATCTCACATCCCATGGATGTCTTTACAAATGCCCTAGTGGGGTGTGTGTGTGTGTGTGTGTGTATGTGTGTGTGTGTCCAAGTGTGTGTTTTATACTAGTTTAAAAATGCCTGTTGTGATGGCCTTGCTTTGTGCTCTTCTGGTGGGTGTACTGCTAAGAAAAATAAAAAAACGAAAACTACAGCAAAAGAATCTGATTTTTTGGTTACAACAGCGGTATGCCACGAGCACAAAGCTGTCTCCCCACAATCAGTGAGAAGCATCTCCCATTGTCAGCAATTGTCTTTCGACCCCACAGAAGACACCAGTGAGCTACTGCTTTCCTACATTCGTACGTTGATTTAAAAAAAAAAATCAAAGTCAGACAAGGCTAAGAGCTAGGATATTTTGGTTTGTGTAGGAACCTCCTTCTCTTTAGGGTGTTCTTTCCTCCTCTGCTTTCCCATGAAGCTGGAAAGGCTGAGTTGTGGGCAAAACCATGCTTCTCATGTTCTAAAGTGAAACTTAATGCCTCCTGGGTATGGGTTAGAGATAAAAGCTACTAACAAAGAAGTAATGTGAATGGACCACTTCCATGGGTTCTGCGCGGGAGGCTGGCTGGCCAAGCGCGTGCGCTGCCCGTGGACAGCAAGACTGCCTTGTGTCTGGAGCAGATGCTCTGCTCCCAACACAAAGAGCTCACCCTCCTCAGTGGGAAGGAGGGTCTGGCCCCCACGGCATGACTTAGGACCATTAGGATCTGCACTCGTAGGAAACCAAGCCATCATTTTAGCTACGTCATTAATTCTTTTTACCAGACTGGACACATGATACCTTTTTTTTTTTTTAAATCTCAGGGAAAACACCTAATATATTTTCAACAAACATCCAGATAAGTAGAAACTGCATTATTCCTCACAGGGTAGAATGTTTTCCACTTGTTGCACAAGGAAAATAGGTAGAGGAACACACTTTTTGTCCCTGCCTTTGATTGTCTCATGTGATGAGCTGTTAATGCATTTGACAGTTTCGGGGAAAGCTAAGGGCCTCCATTTTCAAACTCATCTCCCCAAACAAGCAGGTATTAATGACAACCCTGGGGATGAATAACAGGTCAATAATACCTGTGTGATTGTGGCCATGCCTTTTCCTTTTGCAGTTTCCTCTGCACAGTGACAGTCACCTAACTCTGAGAGTGGTCACACACTATCTGAAGTCACCGCATCTGGTCCGACAGCTCATCTAGCCCTCAGAAGCCAGTAAATATGCCTTTGTCTATGGTCTTGTCTCCCGCACTTTCAACTTTTACTCTTGATTAATCTCAAAACGCGTGACAATGATAGTCAGAGAGGTCCAAAATACAGAGTTGATATATCAGCAAAACATTCCCGTGACAAGAAAGCCCATCAAAGCCTCATCCACCACTGACGGTGGGTCAGCAATTTCGCTGAGACATGTTAAGACATGACCAGTTCCACGATGTGCTTTCTAACCTGTTGTAGGTGAGACCCCCGGGTATGCTATTACAAATAGGAGACTGATCTTAATTTTAGCAGTCTCTGTCACGTTGTGCACAAGATCGGAATTAAGCCTGGAACGAGATTCTCACTCTTCAGGGGCACCTTTTAGCAAAGGAACCCTTTCAGATCATCCTAACCACTTCACAAGACTAGGTCTCCATGGTACGACTTAAGCCCCAAATAACTCTGTGACTCCCACGAGACATTACAGAAACCTCTCCAACCCTGGCTCTCTTGGCTCAAAGCAAAGACATTTGTTTCAGCAGCCAAATATCCTGCTGGAGGTTACACACACAATACAAATACATGAGAATGATTATTTTGCGGATAAAAGGAAAAAAAAAAACCCTCAAAAGTCAAAGTACCGTCATTTGAACACACAGTTTTATCTACACAGCCAAGGAAAAAAAGGACAGTGAAAGGGAATTATCCAGTTAAATACACAAAACCCCGTGTCATTGTCCTGCGTTTTAGATGGCTTTCTGTTACACCGATCACCTTCACAGATTGTCTCATCCCTTCACTGTGGGGACCTAGCTGTAAAAAAGCAACAGCTAAAACGAGCTTGCTAACAGACTAAAATGGAAACCAAAGTCACTTTAGAATTAATTCAAATTAATTCGTAGCTAATTTCAGCTCAACTGACTGCACAGTTTCGATTCTTGTGTCTGTAACAATGATAACTTCAGTTATACTTTCTGCTTATTCTGAGGGACAAGGGAGATTAAAACATATGAGCAGGGGATATATTATTAAAGAAAATAAAGCTCTTACTATAAAGAAAAACTTGCATAGCATTGTATACCTAGACTTTTACAAAGAAGACACATCACAGTTCTATTTTGTTAAAAGTAAGAGGGACAGAGAAACAGAAAGCAAAATGACTGTGACATTAAATTTCACAGGTCCCTAAAACGATGGCCAGTGACCAAGGAAACATGCAACAGAGAGTGAAATTCCTCAAGTGAAATTGATTTTTAAGAAGAATTTTCCAAGGGTGTATGTTTTAGATAATGTATGTATGTGATCGATAGCCCTTCTACATCTAAGGGATGGAAAGGGGTAAATTACACATGCTTTCTGAAGATGGACGTGGCTTCAAAAATATCTCGAATTAAGCCTGGAAGTCCTTCTCTTCTTTGTGCCCTCTGCTCTCTGCCCTGCTCTGCCAAGATTAGGGGAACAAACCTTCACTTTCTGACTTGTTCATTTTTCATCTGTTATCCTGTTAATAAAAGATTGATTATCCTCCACATCCCAAAGACGAGGAACATCCAAGATTGAAAAGTAATAAATGCAATTTAAAAAATGGAAGAGGATCAAAGTCAGGTCAAGGTGGAAACTTGGTATTGCTTTAAAAAAAAAAGTATGTTCTTTTAGCCAGCTTTGATGTGTCCTGACAGAATTATTAGCCGGGAAAATTAATATACATTTTAAAGTGTATACGGATATTTTGTGCAGCCAAGACCGGCACCCATAATTGTCCTTCAAATTTTGGGCAGAGGGAGAAAAAAAATGAATGTAGCATAAACAGCTAATTATGAAAATATACGTGAGATGATTGGAAGACAAGAATTTCGGAGGGGATAAAGGTATTAATTCAAGCTATTTCAACATGATATTCACAAAGTTAGTTGATCGCAGAACTACTGATCATTTGCTTTCGTCTAAATGATAGCAATGATTTTTAAACAAGTTTAGTATATTCCAAACCTTGATCCCTTGTTGGTCTAAATATCATGTTGACATAGCTGATGTGAATCTACCCAAATAATTCTCATTATCAAAAATAATTCCATTCAATATAATTCTTCCCGTTAATTTATTAGCCTCTTCTAAAAAAAGTATTCTAGAATATATCTCTGTTGAATGTGATTCAACCTGACGTATAATTTGAATAGTAACACTTTTAAAGGGAGTTCTCTTGCCGGGACATCCCACCTGCCCCCGAAGATGACGGCTATCAGACTCAGGTCTCTCACTCGGTTTCACATAGGACCAGGGAAGCATGAAGAGTGATTTTTCAAGTTCCCAGTCAGGAAGCCAACCCCTGGGTTGGAAGGTCTTTTCCAATCTCATCTCATTGTCTTGATTCTGCCAGGCTGGGTTAACTTATCTTACAGGAACTGACTTCCTCGAGATGCTTTCTGCATTTCCTGTCTTGGGTCAAATCAGGGTGACTACCTCCTTTTTTAAATTTTTTTTTTTAAATGTTAGAAGTTTTTACTTTTCTTCTGGGCCAGGAAGTATAGAAATAGCATGAAGGGACCTGGGCCATTTCTTGTTTTACGCCTATTATTCTCCCTACCCTGATGAGTCCATTTGAATCTGCCCTTCCATCTGACCACCGACTCTAAGAAAGGGATTTATTCGGAAGCTTCAACAGCAAAGACGTGAATGTGCATCAGGAGGAAGAATCACTCGTGCTTTTGCCTGGGCTCTTGTACAACCCTGTACAGTACTTCAGCAACTATTTTTTTTTTTTAAGATTTAAAAAGCAAAGAGTTACAAAACTGTTTGTAATTAACTTGAAATAGAAAAGATAGCACTTTTTTTTAAATCCCATTATATAGTACACCGTATAAATTACAGAGTATTCAAATGCACAAACGCATCTGTGGAACATTTATCAAATGTAATTGGCGTGTCTTTTCGTGCACACACGTGTGTGCTCTCGGGAGTCCCGGCGCCGGACCCCTGGCGGTCACGTGTGGCAGTGCTCCAGGTCCGGCACGCTGCTGTTGCAGTATCGCACGTTGTTGGGGATGTGGCAGTCGGTGTAACTGATGCCCCCATTTGGGGTGTAAATGGGTTGCAGTCTGAAATCTCCTTTAAGGAGCTGATCGTTATTTAAGGAGACGATCTGAAAGCTGGTTTCGGTCATCTCCAGGATGGAATTGTCCTTCTTGGTGCCGGCCTCGCAATAGTCATCTTTCCGCCGGCCGCGGTTGTATTTCCACTTCTGGGAGGTGTAGCGCCCCTTTTTGTGCATGTGCCAGCAAAAGACGCTGAGCAGGACCACGAGCACAAAGATCACCGCGCCCCCGATCAGGCCCGCCAGCAGGAAGGGGGAGCCCATGCTGTGGGAGGTCGCCTGCTCGTGGCTGGAGGCCGTGTTGCTGCCGTTGTTCAAGTAGGAGGCATGGGTGGTGGCCTCGGAACAAACGGTGTCTTCCACCGCTCGGTAGTTGAACGCGTCCAGCGGCACTAAGCAAATCCGATACGTGGATCTGGGCTCTAAATTCACCAGGCTCAAATGCTGCTTCTCCCCACTGACGATGCGCTCCTGAACGATGCCCCCTACCAGGCTGTGGCCCATTTTCACCCACGTGAGTTTGTACGCCATCACAGTAAAGAGAGAGAGCCAGCTGACTTGAATGGAGGTGTCATTCACAAAGTGGATGGAGAGTTGGATCCGTTCAGAAAGAGGCGGGGTCGCTCTTTCTCTGCCATCCCAGTCGGGAACCGTGGGAAGTTTCGAGGCTGTGGGAGTCAGAGGCAGAGAGCCCCTGCTAGGGGTTGGGACAGGGACTGTGGGAGGCTGAGTGGTGGCGAAACCTGAACTGGGGGCCGGGGTGAAGGGAGGCAGGCCAGGGGTCGTGGTGGGACATGACAAAAGATTCAGATTCAACTCCCGGACAGCCATCCCCCGCACTTGTTCAGGACCTTGGCACATGAAACCTCGCACATTGAGAGAGGAGGGGATGTGTTTGAGCCATTCCGTGACCCACTTAATACTGCAGTCACAAAACCAAGGGTTATTCCGAGCAGTGAGCTGCTTCAGGTTGGAGAGGTTATCGAAGACCCCTTGAGTCAACACGCGCAGCTGGTTGTTGGATATATCCAGCCGTTCCAGCTTCCGGAGGTTCGAGAAGGCTGTCAAAGGGATGTGGTTGATCTGGTTGTCTTGCAGATAGAGCCTGATCAGATGCGTACCTGGGAGGTCAGGAGGAGGGTGGGAGAGCGAATTCCGGACGATGGAAAACTCCTTGAGCTTGGTGAGGTGGCTGAAGGTGCCCTCGGCAATGCCCTTGTTGGTCAGCAGGTTTCCGTCCACGATCAGACGCTCCAAACTCGTGAGGTTCTGGAAGGCCATGTCTGATATGACCGCAATTCGATTCTCATCCACCCTCAGCTCCTGCAGGTCCATGGGAAGCCCGACAGGCACGCTGCTCAGATGATTCTTGGACAGAAACAGCAATTTGAGGCTGACAGCCTCCCGGAAGGCCCCGTCTTCCACCCCCACCGTGGAGATGGAGTTGTCATCCAGGTGGAGCTCCTCCAGCTTCAAAAGCTGGGCGAGAGCCGCTCGCGATATGGTCTGAATGTTGTTTTCCTGCAAATGGAGAACTCGGACGTTCTTGGGGAGGTTCATGGGGAATTCATCCAGTTGGTTGCCGTAAAGGTAGACGGTGTGCACGGATCGCACGTTGTGCAGCTCTGCGGGAAATCCAGCATTATTAATTTGGTTGTTGTGGAGGTAGAGCACGGTGACGCCCTCCGGGATCCCAAGAGGCACTGAGGTCAAGCTTCGCTCGTTACAGTAGACAAAGTTCCTGTCGCAGCGGCACACGCTAGGGCACGCCAGGATTCTGGACACCTGGGAGGAGAGCCCCAGGCACATGAGAAGCCAAGATTTCAGGAAAAAAGCCCCCCAGCTGGGCCCCTGTGTGGTCTGTAGGCCCATTTCTGAAGTACAGAAATAAAATACAATGTGGTGGAGAAACAAAAAAACAACAAAAAAAGAAAGGATGGCAAAACCAAAATGACTGGCTGGAGCTTTGTTCAAGTCCAGAACTCCAACTAGAGGAAAAGTCTCAAAGACGCACGGTCAAAGAATCTTCCTGGTCTTATCAGATCAGCCTGTGTTGCCCTCTTTGCTATTGTCCTCCATGTGCAAAAAAAAATTTCAACAGGGAGAATTTTCCACCCAGGCAGCAAGTGAAGCCAAGTTATCAGCGGTCCACAGGGGCCCAATGGGGCAGGCAGAATCCCTCCGTTTATTGTCGGTCAGTACAGCATGGACCAGCCTAGGAACTTCTTGGTTAAGCTCAATCTGCAATCTGTTGTAGGAAAGCAGAGAGAAAAGAGTCAGTTAAGGGTACTGAATGAATTCAGTGCTGATCTGACTGTAAGCTTTTCAAGAAACACTGTGATGGGGACTAAATGCCTGGAGGCAGGGAGAAGGCATGAAGTGATAGGTTAAATAACAACAATTTAGTTGAAAAGTTCTTCAAGAAATGAAAATGATTCAATTATCTCATCATTAAGGGAAAACTCACTATAAATGATCATCTTGTGAATTTTGCATCCCAGCCAGTACCTTCTCTTACAGATCTATTTGTGTATCCAAAGAGAGAGGCACATGAGGCGCAGGGCTGAATCCACTGAATCGATGATGACCATCTACAAATCCAACTGGTCATGGTCATACTTCAAGATGAAATGAGTGACTGTGAGACAGGAAGGAAGGGGGCGGGGTCACAGCCATTAAAGGAATGACACAGCAATTAGCATCAAGATGGAGGAAAAGTCAACTCCCAATAGACCTTGAGGCCCAAGACGGCAGGAGATTCAACCTCCAGTGGACCTTGAGCTACGTTATTGTAATGCACTAGCTTGGTGAGGGACCCTCCCCCAGGTGCCATGACGGTTCCCAGGCTAACCAGGAAAGGTTAAAAAAGAGGGCAGTGGCCTAACTCCTGGGAATCCCCATCCCTTCCCCATAGTAGTTGGAATAAACCTTCCACTTGTTACATATAAAAACTAGCAACACCACACGCTCTCTCTCTCTCTTGTCTTCTGAGACAGCCCGCACTCTGTCTATAGAGTGTGTATCTACTATTACTTTAACCACGCCCACCAAACCACACCCCATACATCTCTCTAAATAAATCTACTTTATTCAACTATGGCTTGCACTTGAATTCCTTCCCGTGCGGAGCCAAGGACCCTCACTTGGTGGGGGGCATCCCAGTGAGATAGGGGGAAAGGGGGCAAGGCATAACCACTGAAGGAATGACACAGCACCTGAGGGCAGGACAGACTGATTAGAATCAAGATGGCGGCAGATCCGACTTCCAGTAGACCGTGAGCCTCACGGCACACACACAAGTGCCATGACAGTTCCCAGGATGACCATAAAAGGTCCAAAAGTGGGTGGGGCCCGACTCCTGGAAATCCCTGCCCCTTCTGAAAAGTAGCTGGAATAATCCTCCTAACCCATTAACATATGAAGTTACTAAGCCCATAAAACTTAACAATTCAGCACCTCATGGTCTCTTTCCCTCTTGCCTTCTGAGACAGCCCGCACTCTTTCCATGGAGTATGTACCTACTTTTACTTTAAACTAAACACCCCTATGCCTTTCAGTCTCTTTCCCTCTCACCTCTCTGAGATGGCCCACATTCTGCCTATGGAGTATGTATCTCCCAAGCTGTTTTCCCTTCTGAGTGAGACAGACCCCACTCTGTTTATGGAGTGTGTATCTCTCTGAATAAACTTGCTTTAACTTTACCATGCCTTGCTCTTGAATTCTCTCCTGCGCGAGGCAAGAACCTATTCTCCTACACCACCAGGGACCCAAGCGAGACCCAGTACATGGCCGTCCTCTCGCGCCACCCACTTTTTCCTGTATCAACCAAGCAACTAATAAAATTTAAGGGAAAAAGGGTGAAACCTTTCCAATTATAAGTCAACAAATGTAAGATGGGGACTGGTACAGTTATTTTAAAAGATGCGTCCTTTTGATCTGACACGGTGATAAAACAGTTTAAAGGTGATGCACAAAACGTATAGAGGCAGAGAAGACGTCACTTATCTTCCCCCTCCCTGCCGCCTCTCACCTTTGTCTGCCTCCCAAATAGCTCTCACCCGAGTTACCAACTGGAATGACTGAACTCCAGCCCATGACACATTTCCTTCTTCGAGATCTCCAGGAACAGACGAGATATACCATTGTGATTCCTTTGAGAGTTGACAAGCTCATGATTGGGAATAAATTATTTCTCGACAATACAACCTTCCTCTCACCCGGGAGTGTTTTCCTGCTTTTAAATTAGGACTCTAAGCAAATATCGAAACGACAGAAGACGCAGTTTGGGAAGTAAAGGCAATCTACCAGTAGTAATTAAGCCTTCTTGCTCCAGAACGTGTTCCATCTATTTTCAGATCAGAGAGGTAGAGAAGTTAATTGAAAGGTGCCAGATTTGATTTCCCTACAAAATAAGCTAACATGACAGGACACAGCAAGCTCTGAGCCTCTCAATTCTCACCAATACACAGTGACCGAAATAATTTATATCTAAAAGCACAGTGGAATGATTTAAAATTGTCCCCTTAGCTATCTTTAGAAACATAATTAAAAAAGAAAAAAAAACACTGTAACTGCTACTTAAGTGTCCAAAATATTGTAAATTTGTTCCACAATGTGAAAGATTGTGCACCATCTTAAAAATGCCAGAAACAGTAATATTTCTTTTTTATTGTTCAGAAACCTTTCAAAAAAAAAAAGGAGGCAGGGTACAGCATCTCTTTCCAGGCAGAACAGAGAATGTGATACTTTATTAAAACTCAAGCATTATTTAATTTGTTAACACTTCCAAATATATGTCTTGTAACTGAACAGGAGTCATCCCTGCTAGTAAAAATCTCCCTATACACTTAAAAGTAATTTATAATAAAACAAGGGGTAGTGTCAGAAAAGCTAGTTTAATGCCATCAGCTTGACATCAGCTTAGGATGTGAATCTTCAAACCATGTCAACGTTCCCTAATAGCTCGCTGTTCAAGTGTGATCCTTGAAGGTGGTGGAAACATGGAATTTGCATATTAGCAAGTGCCTAGGATGTGCACATTAAAATCAGAGAAACGCTGCCCTAAACACAGTGCCATATTATTTAATTGTTCAAATGTTTTACCTTATTAAATGTACAATAAATGCAAGAGCATGTCAGATGACTCATTGAGAAGAGTAAAAGCATAAGGTCTACTGATGACTTTTGTCCCTGGGAGACAGTCTCAGATTACATCTTAAAAGGAAGTCACATCTTCTAGGTAGAGGAATGCAGTGACGAAAGCTGTCACTTGGCCTCAACAGATCCAAGCAGTAATGTCCAGCAGGAGCTTAAAGAGTTATTTGTAATTAGAGGGGCTCACTTTTACAAAGCACAGTTTATTCAAGAACAAAAATCTCTTTAGTGCTATGTCGCATTTACTCTTCAAAAGAGGTCAGAAAGTGAAGCTCTAGTAGAATCTGATACACTTGAATATTTCGCAGGAATCTTCAAAGTGTGATAGTAGCATCCAATGAACAGAGTTTTCCAAGACAGCTAAACAGCTGCCCCAGGGTCTTTTAAGTTTGCACGTAGGAATGAATAGATGCTTCTTAACCACATTTACAAATCAAGTTTTGAAGCCCTAGAAACAAGAGACCAATGCTTGAGGATGGTAGTTTGTTTAGAAAGTTTATCTGCCAACAGCCTCAAGGCAATAATGATTGGGAGCTAACGGTACTCAGGATGGACCTGGGGAATCTCATTGTGCATCCAAAGTGCAAATCTTCACCTGCCTCAAGTGTGTCCTCTGTACAGAGAGAAAAAAGCTTATCAACCAGCCCGCTGCCCCACGCCTTGCTGTCTGGCAGGTGCACTTTACTTCCGAGTGGTTCTTGTGTATTACACAAGAGGAGGACATGGTCCTGAAGAAAGCGCCTGATGGGATCATACGGGGCAGACGGGCAACTGTTTACTCACCTCTGCAGGAGCAACATCCCATGGAGATCTCACTGTGTTGATTAGCTAGGACATGTTCAATTCTGAATGAAAACAAACTTTTGGGGTTTCCTTTGTGCTTCTTGGGAATCTCAAAAAGTAACTGTGCATGGCAGGCTGGCTCTAATTCTTGGATCAAAACCAGCCTACACGTTATGTCAGCCAAATAGACTATATCTTTGTTCAAGTTAGTGCAAGTGTAAAATTATAACCACCTAGGCAATAATACATTTTTTTAATTTCAGTAGGCTAAAATTTCCTCTGTATTTTCAGCTCTAGTTCCTACTAAATACCAAGGGGAGAAATCCTTTTAGACCCTAAGATGAAGACTGTATTTATAGAGAATGTTATGGTCAAAAACACTGCCCCTGAGTTCTCATCCCACCTCTGGTGCTTAGGAGCTGCAGGACTATTGATAAATTACTTAACCTTTTATGTCTTAGTCTCCTTATCTGAAAAATGAGGATAAAATAATTCTTAACTCAACAGCACTGTGGAAAGGATTAATTAGGATAATTTTTGTGAAAAGCTCATATGGTGCCTAACACCAGGCAAGAATGTAATAAATATAAACTGTTATTCTCTGGGTGCCTGTTCTCATAAATGATATTCAAACGACGTTTATGCCAACATGTAGAATAAAATAAAATCACCTTTGACCTGCTGAGTTCTCTGAACTTACACCTACTCCAGGATTTCTCAACACCAGCACCATTCGAAGACTGAGTCAGATGATTCTTTTGTTGGGGGGCAGCCGTGAGCACACCACGATGTCCTCGACATTGCCACATATATGTCCCCTGGGGAGGTAAAGTGCCTTACAAGCACCTTAGAAAGTTAGTCTTATTTTAAAAAGAAAATCGAAGGTAAGTTTCTGATAAACAGTGCCTAAAAAGACTTCATGCCAGACATCAAAAAAGCATGAAAATGCAACATGTTTGTCATTCATGTGTTCAGCTAGTTTTGACTGGACACTAAGGTGAGGCTACTACCATGCAGAAACTGATGTGTTTTTTGGCTTTGTGAGTCTTAAAAGTATAATGAAGGGAAAGGAATGAATAAGCAGGAAATTATGGTGTTGTGTAAAGAACTCCAACCCCAGGGCATCTGGGAATTATGGTACCTGTCCAAAGGTCTCATCTGGTCCATGGGGTATCAGGGCAGAGACAGCAGGGGAAGGACTGTCTATGTGATAATCTGAAGGATACTAAGGTGCAAGGCAGGGAAGCAATCCCAGGAGTTCTATACATGGATGAGCTGTAAGGTGGGTCAAGAGCTGAAACCCAGCCCAGC